AAGGCCAGAGTGTTAGAGAAACCCCTCTCCAGGGCCCATTAGACTCCATTGTAGTCTCTAATGGGACCTCTAGTGGGTTCTTTCTAACTAACAGTTTACAAATTTGTGCAATAAATATTCTTTAAAAAAAATATAAAAAAAAACGTGGCTGCTTTTTACATTTAATGTTTCTATCTCATCCAACAAATTCACCAAATTAAGAGACAGGTTTTCTTTCAAATGGTGTGGAGATTACATAAATTACTTGGGCATTTGGGTTTGTCCTGATCTCTCTCAACTTGATGGCACTAATTTTCTCTCTTTCCCTAACATCTCATCTGAAAATTGTCTTACAAGATACAATTTTGCTTTCAAACTGTGTAGAGATAGCATGAAGAACTTGGGCATTTCCCTCTCAACTTTATGGTCTTACTTTTCTCTCTCTACATTGAAACCCTTCAAGATGAACCTACCAGGCAATATTTATCCAAACATGCTCTGATGAATACAGTCACAATACCCCCCTCCCCCCCCAGGGTAATGTATCTTCTGCAGACCATATCTATAGTTATCACATGCTCCTTAGTTTTCTCTGTAACATGTGCATATGTAACTTTATATCGGGTTCAAAAGCTCCTCACCTCCATCTGGAACACCTACATCCTCCCAAAACACCTGGGTGTTGTAAGCCTCCACTCCATCTCTAAATATTGCAAAGCACAGCCCATCTATCTAGGGTGATTGATTGGTACACAGACCCCAATTTGACCCTTTGGATTTATCTGTAGATGGAGCAGCCTAGTGGCACCTTACCTGAAAAGTCTGACTGGACTCAAATCTGATCCCGCAGTTCCTACTTCAACATCCTTTCATAGGCTCTACCCATAGGATTTGGTTTTCTTGCAAACTGAAACATAATTTCACCACCATTCCTGGTTCCATGTTGGGTAATTTTATAACATGACAGGAGGCGAGTATTTTGCATTAACTCTCTTTACTAAACTCCACAGCAGTAAAGAAAACGTAAAGAGTAACAAGTAAATCACTGAGCAGCATAGTATATAAGGGTCATGCTGCCTGTACACTTCCTCTTTCTTTACTGCTCCATCGCAGACAGGTCAGAATATCTGCTCCTCTGGAGCTTTATACATTTATTGTCATGATCTATTTGTTCCATTCTATTGTCATTATCTCTATTATTGCTTTAATTTATTTCCCTTTATTTCTATTCTGTACTGGGCTGTGGGACTAGGGGCTCTCTGTGGGTTTCTGCCCTCTTCTCTGCCCCTCTGTTCATTTTGGGACCCTCCCTGGGCCTCCCCTCGGTCTCCCCAGGTCCCCCCACTGCCCCCCTAACCTGGAGTGCCCTCCTGGGCTCCCTCCTTGCGGCCGGAATCGTCCGCGGCCGTTTTCGCGCCGGCCCGCTTCCGTCCGCGGCCGGCCTCAAAATTTAGTCCCCGGCTTGCGGCCTACACTCGCGGCCGCCATTTTGGATCGCTGACATCGCAAGATTCCCGCGGCCATCTTAGTTTTGCCTCGTGCATCTCATTAGGGACTCAGTGTGGCTGTGCTACCTTGCTGTTACCTCTGCATTGCTGTTTTTCACACCTTTTGTGTCTCACACCCCTGTGACTGAAGGATTACCTGCTCAGCACTCCATCTAGCTGCAATCAGTCTGCTACTCAGCCTCTGTGCCTCTTCTGCTTCTATCAAGCTATATCCTGTGGCTGGGTCAGTCAGGTCAGTGCTGCTGCCTGTTTATTATTGTGACCTGCACTTAAGGGTCCCAACCCTGTGCAACCGGGGTGAGCCCCAACTATAAATACGCTGCTTATTGGGAGACTAGCTGTTGCAGTTCTCTCTAACTGGGTAAGCCCCAGTTTATAAGGTCACTACTATACCCTGCTGGGGTTATTCTGGGCTTGGTCCCACCATACTATCAAATCTGACCCTACGCCTATTATCAAGACCTGGGTGCCCGTTTATTGCTGTGCCTTTCAGTGACATATCAGCCTACCCTAACATGGAAGATTCCCAGAACGTCCCTGTGGACTTCCAGGCTATGATTAACGCAGCTGTCGCTGCCTCTGTGGAGAAGGCACTCTCCAAGGCCCGAGCTCCGGCTCCTGACGTACCAAAAACCCGCAGACGTACACGCCACGAATCGGATTCCGACTTGTCCGACTATCAGACAAGGGATGACTCCCGCCCTAAAAAACGCCATGACAAAGGCGAGGATTATGCACCCAAACCGCCTAAGGGTAAGGTACCTGCCAAGCGCAAATCTGCCAAACTACACACCCCGGCCCCGTGTCAGGAGTACTCTTCAGACGAAGAGCAGGGCCCTGCCCAGTCCATGTCAGTGCTGGATGAGTGGCAAGCTGACGCTTCTGAGTCGGACTACGACGCATGGGGCTCAGACGAGAAATCTGTCTCCGCTTTCATGCGGGAGACCCTCCTGGGTGCGGCCCAGACTGGAGGTGTTGAGGACACTGCGGACGCAGAACCTCCTCTAGACTCAGACACCATTTTGGACCCCTCAGGTCAGGCGATGTTCGACCCCCGCAACATACGGCACCCCAAATCGGGTGACTGGTCGCCTCCAGAACACCTTTCCAGGTTTATGCACCTGTGGCTCCGCAAACCTCTGGAGAAGGAGGTCCGCAGCCGACTCAGGTCTGAATGCCCACGCCTTTCCCTGCCGGATAAGGTCGCTCAGACCCCTGAATTTTACAAGGTCATGTCGTCCTTCATGATGCGCAGTGGTAGAGACCCTCGCCAAGGGGTCGAGAAAGGCCTATGGGGCGCCCAGGATAACCTGCTGGATTCCGTAGGCCCCCTGGCTCGCATTACGTATCTGGCGGATGATGCCTATGCCAAAGCCGACTCCTTCTCTTCCGAGGACATCAGGGAATGGGCACATGACGTTCGTGAATGGGCACAACGGTGTTTTTGTTCATTGGAAACACTAATGTTACGCTCTCTTCGGAGAGACGAAAAGCAGCGTTATACCGTATTAATGGTAAATATGCAGACCTTGGCACAAAGGAGATTGGGCCCCAGGCACAAGGGAAACTATTTGGCGAACCGTTCCTCAAGGAACTCAATTAACACGTAAACGTGTTCACCTCCCTTAATAAGGTGCAATCCTCTATGCGCAGAGTTTTCAGGAGCAACCCTACCAGAGGGGTTTTTGGAAGGGCTGGCCGGCAGCGGGGCCGTGCCGCCAGCCGATTTTGGCCTTCAGGCCCCCGCACCCAACCAACACCGTTCTACCCGACAAGGGACTATCGGCAGCAACCCTTTTCCAGAGGCTCGGATAGAGGTCGTGGACCCCGCGGACACGGACGTTCCCGCTTTGCTGCAGGTAAGGACCCATATTCCTCCACTGTTACCATGCACCCGCACTGCGGGCCGTATTTCCCTTTCTTTCCAGAATTGGGCCGACCTATGCTCAGACACATGGATCCTACAAACAGTACAGGGATATATCATAGACCTAGTGGTGACCCCCTTTCAGGTTCAGCCCCCTCGCCCCATCCACATGTCGTCCTCCGACCACAACCTCATCAACGCGGAGCTACGCGAGCTCAGAGACAAAGGGGCCATCCAGCCGGCCCACGACGGGGATGGTTACTTCAGCACAGGGCTCGAGTCCTGCAGGAACGCATGGGAACGGCGTTCCTGCACTTTTTCCAAAGCAGGAACGCCGTTCCCGTTACCTGTCCTGCAGGACCGGCCCTGCTACCTGCACTGAGGGGCCAGCACACGCTGTGTTCCCTTCTCCAGCTATAACTCTCGCGAGACCCGCGGCTGTTACCATGGCAACGCTCCGCACAGGCGAGTCTCGCGAGAGTTAGAGCTGGAGAGGGAGCACAGCGTGTGATGGCCCCTCTGTGCAGCGGCTGGTTCCCTCCAGCATACCACCGGACCACCAGGCGATCTCCCCCCTCCCTGACAAGGTAAGAAGCAGGGAGGGGGGAATAAAATAAAAAAAAAATATAGACACATAAAGTAAGAAAATGCTTCCCCCCCCCCACATCATCCAGCACTCACTCACTCACACACCCATCATCCAGCACTCACTCACACACCCATCATCCAGCACGCACACACACATCATCCAGCACTCACTCACACACCCATCATCCAGCACCCACACACACATCATCCAGCACTCACTCACACACCATCCAGCACTCACACACACCATCCAGCACCCACACACACATCATCCAGCACTCACACACCCATCATCCAGCACTCACACACCCATCATCCAGCACCCACACACACATCATCCAGCACTCACACACACATCATCCAGCACTCACTCACACACCCATCATCCAGCACCCACACACCCATCATCCAGCACCCACACACACACACACACATCATCCAGCAGCACTCACTCACACCCATCATCCAGCACCCACACACACATCATCCAGCACTCACACACACATCATCCAGCACTCACTCACACACCCATCATCCAGCACCCACACACACATCATCCAGCACTCATCATCCACACACATCATCCAGCACTTACACACACATCATCCAGCACACACACACCCATCATCAAGCACTCACACACACACATCCAGCACTCACACACACATCATCCAGCACACACATCATCCAGCACTCGCACACACATCATCCAGCACACACACACATCATCCAGCACTCACACACACGTCACCCAGCGCGCACACACACATCATCCAACACACGCACACACTGCATTCATTATACACACTCTTCACTCACTACAAACACACTACATTCACTATACACCCTCTGCATTCACTATACACACTCTGCATTTATTATGCACATTCTGCACTCACTACACACTACATTCACTATACACACTCTGCATTCACTACAAACACACTACACACACTGCATTCATTGCACTACACACTCTGCACTCACTACAAACACTAAATTCATTATACACAATTTGCACTTACTACAAACACACTACATTCATTATACACACTCTGCACTCACTACAAACACACTACATTCACTATACACACTCTGCATTCATTATACACACTCTGCACTCACTACAAAAACACTACATTCACTATACACACTGCATTCACTACAAACACACTACATTTATTATACACACTGCACTCACTACAAACACACTACATTCATTATACACACTTTGCACTCACTACAAACACACTACATTCACTATACACACTCTGCATTCATTATACACACTCTGCACTCACTACAAAAACACTACATTCACTATACACACTGCATTCACTACAAACACACTACATTTATTATACACACTGCACTCACTACAAAAACACTACATTCACTACAAACACACTTCATTCATTATACACACTCTGCATTCACTACAAACACACTACATTCATTATACACACCCTGCACTGCACTATATGCATAGGAGTGTAATTTTTTTTTTTTTTTAAAGGGGGGGGTGGGAATCTTGGGTGAGTTCCCACACTTTTTTCCCCAGGACTTGACCCCTGCTTCAGCAACATCTTCCTGGTTCGGAAAAAGTCGGGAGAATACCGACCGGCCATCAATCTACGCGCCCTCAAAGCACATGTGGTCTATCGCCACTTCAAGATGGAGGACATCCACCTCCTGCGAGACCTTCTTCGAAGCAACGACTGGTTCACCAGACTCGATCAGAAAGATGCATATCCGTCAGTCCAGGTGCACCCGGACTGTCGAGCACTCCTACGTTTCCTCTGGCACGGACGCCCTTGGCAATTCACTTGCCTCCCTTTCGGGCTCAGCTCAGCCCCATGGTGCTTCACCAAGCTTCTAAAACCAGTGGTGGCCCACCTGAGATCCAGGGGCATTCGATGCATCATCTACTTAGACGACCTTCTCCTCTTCTGCTCCGACGAACACAGACTACGCCAACACACTCACTTGGCAGTGTCCCTACTGGAATCTCTGGGTTTCGTGGTAAACCAACCGAAATCGGAGCTGACCCCTACTCAGACGATACAATTCCTCGACTTCGAGATCGACTCGACGACATGCACTCTGAGACTACCAGCCTCAAAGATCACAGCCATTCGCAAGGAGATTCGCAGGGTTCTCCGTCTCGACTCCATTCCACTACGCAACCTGGCCAGGATTGTAGGACTCCTCTCTGCTTCCATTCAAGCCATATTTCAAGCCATATTTCCGGGTCCCCTCCACTACAGGGCCATGCAACGAAATACCTACGCCACAGACCTACATACGACCAACCCGTCCCGGTGACGACGGAGGTTCGCGAAGAACTATCATGTGGCTGGACAGCATGCAAGCCTGGAACGGCAAGGCCATATTCGGAGACACCCCAGACTTCGTATTGGAATCAGACGCCAGCCTCTGGGGATGGGGTGCCACCAACGGAACCATCTCCACGGGAGGAACATGGACGGCACAGGAGCTCTCCATGCACATCAATTGCCTCGAACTCCTGGCGGGATCCTTCGCGATCCGCAGCCTGGCCCGGGAAAGATCCAACTGCTGCATCCTCCTGCGCATGGACAATGTCTCCGCAGTCCGGTACATGTCCCTCGCAACATCACGCTTCAGGCGGAATACTTACCGGGAGAAATCAACCTCACAGCCGACTGGTTCTCTCGCCACTGGAGAGACGTCAGCGACTGGAAGCTAAACACGAGAATCTTCAGGGCCCTGGCAGCCCGGAGGGGTCCCTTTCACCTGGATCTGTTCGCCTCTCGCAACAATCACCAGACCCCGGAGTTTTTCAGCTGGCTCCCGGACCCGAAGAGCAAGGTGACAGATGCATTTCTCCAGCAATGGCCGACGACAGGAGCCTACGCCTTTCCCCCATTCTCCATGATTGCGAGAACACTACGCCAGATGCGGACGCAACAGGTCACACTGGTTGTCATAACACCCTTGTGGCAGAGCCAACCATGGTTCCCGGACCTCCTGGCCACCTCCTACAAGGACCCTCTCCTACTACCATCCTTCCCGGACCTGCTCACGGATCCCAAAGGGTATCTCCACCCACTCCTCCTGGAAGACCGGCTACCCCTGGTGACTTGGTCTCTTTCCGGGGTTCCTGGCGAGTCAGCGGACTATCGCAGGCTGCTAGGGACCTCTTATGGGACTCATGGGCCCCGGGAACTAGACGCTGTTACCTTTCAGCTTGGGCCTCCTGGTCTACTTGGTGCATGGAACGGGACTCCGATCCTTTTACAGCACCTATTCCCATGATTCTTAATTTTCTTTCCTCCTTGTTTTCATCTGGCCGCTCTTACCGCTCGGTCAACGTCGTTCGCTCCGCGATTTCGGCGGCTCACACCCCCGTCGGGAATCTCCCGGTCAGCAAAGACTCTCTGGTCTGCCGCCTACTCCGCGGTATGCGGCTCCGCCACCCCCCGGCCCCCAGATACCCTCACCTATGGGATGTGGGACTGGTTCTCCGTTTTTTCAGGGATTGGCTTCCGAATGACCGCCTCTCCCTACGCCAACTATCCACTAAGTGCGCTTTCCTCCTTTGTTAAGTATCTTTCCGATGGGTTTCAGACGTTCGGGCCTTCGACGTGGACGCTTTCGAGGTGGCCCCGGAAGGGGTCACGTACCACATTTCCCATCGCACTAAGTCGGGTTCGACTTCGGTCTTTTACCCCTTTTTCCCAGACGACCCGCAACTCTGTGTCGTGTCCACCCTCCGCAGGTATGTTTCCGTTACCTCCTCACTCCGATCCTCTACGTCGGGCCAACTCCTAGTCTCCTACGTGCGCCCTCACGCCCCAGTCTCAGTCACCACACTGGCCCGATGGATCCGCTGGATCCTTTCCCTCGCAGGTATAGATCCCGCGTTCGGCGCCCACTCCGTTCGCGGTGCGGCGGCTTCATCAGCCTTCCTGGCAGGGGCGTCCCTTTCGGATATTCTCCGAACAGCGGACTGGTCTAGGGAATCCACTTTCCGTACATTTTATTTTCGCACTCCCCCTTCTGCTGGGATGTCACTTCTTCAGCGTTAAAATTGCAAAATAGGAAGCCTCCTGTCATGTTATAAAATTGAAGATTATGCTAGCTTTAGTGTACTAATAATCTTAATTTTAATAAGAACAAGAGGTGAGTATTTTCCCTCCCTTCTGTTCCCTACCCTGACTCCTCGGGGGAGTGGATCTCAAGGTGACGGATATTGGAGTTGATTTTAGTAGTTACTCTTTCATCAGGTTATATTTGGGATCTCTTCCATCTCTCTCCCTAGTATTGCCACCTAGACGGACAGTTTTCGTTGTACAACATGCTTACACCTAACACATACTTAGCCTATGGCCAGCTTACAATCTGTCTGTACTGTTTAATTTACACCATTCTGTTAAAGCCCACAGGCGTAAACAGTTACGGTTCAGTACCTAACCGATTTTATACTCTCCTTTCAGTGTAACCCTCTTCAGGACCTCCACTGGTCACTGGTTCGTTAACCTCACGACTCCGTAAGATGGGATGACGGCTTCGTTTGGTCTTTCCTCCTATCTCGTTACCAGGAGTCTCCTCAAGTTCCGCTCGCCAGAGACCGCAGTTACTGTTTCGTTGAGTTTCTGGATGTTCGAGCTCTATCTGGACTTGGATGTCGCTTTAAGAAAGAGGAAGTGTACAGGCAGCATGACCCTTATATACTATGCTGCTCAGTGATTTACTTGTTACTCTTTACGTTTTCTTTACTGCTGTGGAGTTTAGTAAAGAGAGTTAATGCAAAATACTCGCCTCCTGTCCTTATTAAAATTAAGATTATTAGTACACTAAAGCTAGCATAATCTTCAATTCTCCTCCTTCTGGAAATTATAGGTTGTACTTTTTACAAATCTCTAATTTTTATAAGGTATGGACCCCCTGCATGAATCTTTACAACTATTAAATCTTATTGCCATAAACATGAGAACCTACCTTGGATTATCACCACTTACAAATCTGGGAGGCATAGGACTGACAGAAGACAGCATGATTTGATACTAAGTGTGAAGATGACAAGAACACTAGACTGGAAGAAGTTTTAATTGACCCATCAAGCCTCTATTTGTTCCTCTATACCAGGCATAGGCAACCTCCGGCACTCCAGATGTTTTGGACTACACCTCCCATGATGCTTTGCCAGCATTATGGGTGTAAGAGCATTATAGGGGGTGTAGTCCACAACATCTGGAGTGCTGAAGGTTGCCTATCCCTGCTCTATACAGAATACAAATTCCAGGCTTTTAGGTGTAATCATACTTCTCAGCTCCTGCTCAGTTCCAGACACCTGTTAAAACACAGTGTGCTCCCTATACCATATAAGGTGAGAATGCACAGAGATCATACCCTTCTGAGAAGCAGTACACTTAACTCCATCATGAGGAAAGTCATACTCCTTCATCAAACTTCGATCTCTCTTTCCTGTTACAAAAAAAATCTCCCACAAAGGATCTGCTCTATTGGGCTAAAATCCCTGTCTTTTGGTTTCAGAGAGTCGCTCCATTGATGGATAGCCAAGTTTGAAGAGATTAGGAAACTGTAAGCTCTAATGGTCTCTCTTTATGACATGTGTAATAAATCTAATACAACTTGATTTTGTGTCCAAAATCAAATATGTGGGTTGAATACTAGTTTCAGGAGCAGTGTTAGCCCTCCAAGTGGGACCACCTATCTCTAATTACTCTATTCCTCATGTTTACTTTTCTATCCTAACTTATGTCCTTCTTTACCCCCTCTCTCTTTTTCTAATTACTACCGTCCCCTCCTCCTCTTTTATATTCTTTTTTCCCCCCTCTCTTTATACCTGCGCCATCTCGAATTATTTAAACATTTAAAATTCAAGGGGAAACTGAACAAACATGTATTCCTAATGCTATTGTGTACTACTGAATATTAAGGTTCATCCCCACCATTTGAACAAAAAACAAAAAAATTGCAGTTTTACTTATCTATCTTCTTGTAGTGCCCTGGTCTTGTCACGGCTGTCCTACCTTCCTGGTTGAGATCATCAATCTTGGGAGGCTAGTGACAATGCATTTCTATTGGGAGCATTCTGCGTTTCCATTCAGAGCGTGGAGAAACTGAGCACCGGTCCTGCATCTTTGCAAGCCCAAGCCCAGGAAGCACCTCAGGAGGCTGCCCGAGCCACTAGAGATTGTTATAGGCAGCTATGTAAACACTAACTTTTCTCAGAAAAGGCACCATTTACAATGTTAGGCCTGTAGGGGCAGGCTATATGCCCAAGAACACATACAATAAGCTGAAGGGTTCTTATGACTATAATGTTTAACAAATTAAAAATGTGACACAATAGTTGTATTGGAGCTCTGA